GAGTGTCCCTTCCATGCACAGATCTCTGTGGTATAATCAAGACCTAAGTGTTTTGTGCAAAGCTCCCATTGACATTAATGGTGGTTATGTACATAGAACCTGAGAAGACCAGACCTCAACATGTAATTGAGCAAAATACTGTTCTTTTCAGTCAAGTGAAACATTATTTTTTGTTGAGGAATTACACATACAAGAAGTGTGGCAAATGAATGCCATAAGCAAGCAGTTATTGTCTACATCAAAGGTTCTCAAACTGTAGTCCGCGGACCACCACTGGTCCACGTGCTCCATTCAGGTGGTCCACGGATAGTTCCTTCTAAGGTGCGCACCTGGGCAGCCGCACATGCGAGAATGAAGGGCCGTCCATCTAATTAGTGGAGCCGCGCAGGCGTGGCTTCATTAATTAGGTGCCAGAACCCTGGAGAAGATGCACATGTAAGGTGAGGTGGTGGCCTTGGGGGAAATAAGGGGTAGGTGGGAGGGGGCAGTGGGTTGAGGTGGGGGAAATAGGAGGTGGGGGGGAAGTGGGGTGAGAAGAGAGGGTAGGGGGAAATTGGGACATGCAGGGCTGCGGCAGCCAGAGAAGAGGCGACTTTCTCTAGCTCCAGGGCTGTGGCTGCCGGGAAGAGAACCCCCTCCTTCCCAGCCCCAGCTTGGTGGCTGCCACTGCTGAGGAGAAAGGGAGAGACCCCCTCCTTTGCAGCCCAGCTTGGTGGCTGCCACAGTGCGGGAGAGACTACTGATATTAAAATATGAGCTGTGTCCTTTTATTTGTAGAATAAAAACACGTTAATTATTATTTAGGTTTTTTTATACAGCACTTTTATCCAAAGCGCTTTACAATAGTTAGCTAACGGTACAAACAACATTTGGAAAGATCATTAAGTGGTCTGCCAAGACCCTCAGCAATTTTCAAGTGGTCCATGGAAAAAAAAGTTTGAGAACCACTGGTCTACATTATCTGCCAGGGTGATTGGCACAGCTCCATTTAATGAGAAATCTCATGCATTATTACTGAAGACAACATTATAACTTAATTTCACCATGCAGAGAACCTGGAAAGCCTAATAAATGCTTTTCACACTCATTCATATTTCCAAAACCTGTTTCACTTCTATGTGAGAAAAAGTCTCCTAACTAAATTAAAACCACAGCCCACAACCTTAATGACTAGCCAAAAAGTGGAAAATACACAGTAAAACTGGAAAATTATACAGTATTTGTATTCTAGCAACGCTAGTCTCTAAACATACCACAAACATATTATGGGAAATTAGATGTCAATTAAAATAATATGAACCTGGAAATTCAATATAAAACTCTTGATTCATTCTGCTCCCGTTGAAGTCAAAAACAAAACTCCCATTGACATCATTGAAGACAAGATTGGACCAAAAATTCTTCAAACCCCAGAGATGATAAATCTATAATACTAACCTACATATTGGTAGTGCAACACATATACAATATAATCTAATATTAAAACATTATGTGATCATACAAGCTATAAAAGTAGCTTCCAGATGTGCTTTATCATGGGCCATGACACCATATCACTGTAAGTTTCCAGAGCTTTTGGTAATAAAAACAAAATTGAAAAAAGAAAAAGATTGGTGTCTGTACATTTTAATTGGATATTTTTATTCCTCTTACATTAAATTTTTGAAATGAAAAATTATACCAAGCTGCAGCCATGAATTGTGGGTAAGTGCAAAGAAAGCGAGAAGACTAGTGTTGAAACTCCAACTGGTCGTCAAGCTGTAGATTTCTGTAGTACCTGCCTGCTGTGGTGCCCGCTTTCGTCTTATCATTTAATGAATTTTTGGGGGGGTTCATTGTTGTTTTGAAAAAGCAGCCACTAATTCTTGGCTATTCCTCATATCTCCACTGGCTGGGGTAAAATTCATTACAAACCCAGTTTCTTCTCTACAAACCCAAGTAAATCGGTTTTGTGAAGAGAACTACTTAGAGGCTGGAGGGGATTGGAATACATTCCCCAATCTGAAAGCAGAGCACAAAACATCTCTGCAATCTTTACACTGGCATTATTCCAACATCTGGGTTGTGATAGGGGCTATAATCCCCACACAACCACAACTCAGGGGTCCATGGAAATCAGGGGCCACATCCTTCACTGCCTTGTAGCTTGCACCTTGTACCCACTTGCACCTGTGTAAAATAGGTGTAAAACATATATTCTGGTTTGGTATCATTTTACACTCTCACTTTACACAGGTATAAATGACTGTGCAAAGGCAGAAGAGAATAGCTCAGACCTCTGCCCTGTCCAGATTTCCTTGTGGTGGCTTCTGTGAAGTTGGCACAGAGCCTCATTCTGCTGCAACCAGAGAACAAAAGGTCCCTTAGCTAATCCACTGTGCAGCAGCCCAACATCTGTAGTAGGTGCTCTCCAGCCATGGCCATCTCTAATGCTTCACAGCACTGGTTTTCAACATTTTTTCATTTGCGGACCCCTAAAAAATTTCAAATGGAGATGCAGACCCCTTTGGAAATCTTAGACACAGTCTGAGGACCCCCAGGTGTCCACAAACCACAGGTTGAAAAAAGGTGTTCTATGGTAACAGCAACCTTTCCCGGACCCCTTAGGCATTGTCCGCAGACCCCCAGGGGTCTGCGAACTAAAGGCTGAAAATCACTGCTTGAGGAAAGAAGAGAAAAACAAAATATATCAGGGGAAAAAATCCCTTCCTGACCCCTACAGGTGACTGGCTGAAGCCCCGCAACATGAGACGTTAGGACCTTAAGACATGAGACTAAGAATAAACAGTTTATCAGGGCATTACACGAAACAGGATTTCAGCATTGACCTGGAACTTTCCAGGCAAAGATGTTTTCAGGCCTAACATCTAATGCCTAGCTCTCAGGGCTTTTCCAGTTTCATACTCCAAAGCAATTTAATTGAGAAAATGCTCTCTAAGTAAATCTGCAAATACTGTAAGGATCTCTAAGAATTTTATTTGCTTGCCCCTGGAACTTTTTAAATCAAAAGATGATCCCATACCAAAAGTGATTCAATTGCATAATCTATTGTTAGACCAGTGCCCCGAAACTATTGTATATAACTGTTTTTGCTCCATTTAGATACAAAATAAATCATTTTAGATTGCTTTTTGAGAATAAATTTGCTTAATCTCTTTTTTAGACCTACACATTATATTTGGCAGTTAATCATTAGTATTTGGCTTGTGTAGATTCCCAAAAGCGTGCCATGAGCTAAATGTCTTTAAAAAAGATTGTTCTACATATGTTATATTAGAGCCCCCCACCCCCAATTTCTGTAACTATTGTAATATTAAACAAGACAGGTGCTGCCATTTCCTACACATTAAAACTTTAGAAAAAATATCAGTAATGTTCATCCTTTGCATATAGTTCATTATAGTTTTAGGGAGTGATGCTCTCCCAATTGCAGCCAGTGGGAATACTAGTTCCTAATTTGTTTGTTATTTTTCCCCTTTAATATGATAGCCATTACTGAAGGCCATTATATGAGACAATGCAATGAGAGTATAAACAAAGGTTCCAATTCAAGGATTTCAAAGTGCTTTCCAAAGGTCAACGTTTTAAGTGTCAAAGCATCCACAGGATGAAGGGAAGTATTATCTCTATTTTAAAGATGAGGAAACTGAGTCACAAAGACATTAAGTGACTTGCCAAGGCCTCACAGCATGTAAATGGCAGCGCAAGACATAGCAACAGGATCTCCTGAATTCCAATACTGTACATACATTAATTACTAGAATATGCTTTCTTTCTACAATAGGAAGCTTGCTTATCACACTTGTTTGTTCCTTACATGCTAATGATATCATCCTGCACCATAATGACATTTGAACAAATTCATGACACCATTCTGTGATGCCAATGCACGCAGCTTGGTCCCCAGACCACCTTTTTCCAGATACTACAGTGACTGGCATTGATCCAACTCCTAAAACAGATTACAATGATTTTTTAAAAAAATTATGTATCACTAAATGCTCCAACATCTGGATGCAGGGCTCGGGACTGAGTGGTCACCAGCACACAAAAAAAAAGGGGGGGAGAAATGCTTCACCATTTCTTATCGTTTACAAGGTGGTCGTATCATAAGAGTAGAGGCTATTTAGAACTAGGGAGGAAGATTATATACTATATATTGTATTACAGGGAGTTAAAATATGTTCAGCTTCAGCTCATCTTTTTGCTTTGCTGTTTGTGGAATGCAACAAAGAAAAGGAAGGCCTAGTGTATCTCTTGCTGATTCCATTTCTTCATTAAAATCCTGATTTAACTTCAAGACATATTTCTGAAAACCATACTAACCTGTATGTGCTGGACCAACACTTTATTCACTGATGTGTTGCAACACTGTCACACTAATTCTCTTGCAAGGCTGGCAGGATAAACTCCTTGTGTATGAGGCTGTGTCTGCACGTCACATCACAACCTTTACCGCAAGGATCTCAAAGCACTTCATAAAGGTAGAAGCACCGAGTCCCCTAGCACCAGTGTGAGGAGGGGAACGATTATCATCCCCAGTTTTTAGTTAGGGAAACTGAGGCAGGGAGCAGTGACGTGATTCATCCACGGTTACCCAGACAGCATTGACCTGCTGTCTCCCAGGCCTTGGAGTTGCTCACTAGAGCCCAAGCTTAGCCAAGCAAAGGAGGCCGGGCGGGGGGGGGCCATGGCAAAGTCCCCCTCGGCCCCTCTCCTGGTGCCCGGGCCCCAGCTCGCCTCTCGGGATTCCCTGCCTGCCCTCGAGGGCGCGGGGCCCGGCCCGTGCGCTCTCTCGGGATGACTAGCCGGGGGCCGCTGCCTCCCGGAGGGAACCCGAGAGCCGGCCGGCCGCGTCGCAGGGTTTCAGCTCTGACCGAGCAGCTGATGTAGAGAAAGAGAGAGGAGGGAAAGTCCTGGCTACGGTGCGCCTCCGGCTATAAAAGCGGCTGCCGCCAGCCGGACCCAGCAGCGCTCCAGCACTACCTCAGCGACTCCACATGGCGAAGCGCCCCGGCCTCGACTGCCCACGTGAGTGACCAGCGCCCCGCAGCGGCCTGGCCTGGGAGCGCAGGGACCCCGCTAGCCGAGGCCTCGTGCGCTGTGCGCTGCGAAGGGCTCCGGGCCGGGCCGGGGTCTGGGAAGGGTCGCGGCCGGGCCGGGCGGGCAGCGCGTGGGGAAGGAGGAGCCGAGGGCGCACGTGCAGCCGCGTTCCGTTGTTCCTTGCCCAGGGGTCGCTGGCTCCCGTGCTCACGCGCGGCCCTTGTTTGTTTCAGGTGGCTGGCTCCTGGTGACTCTCCTCGGCCTCAGCCTGGCCGACTTGGCAGCGACCTCGCCGCTGCCTTCCTCCTGGCCCAATCTGAATGACTGCCTCAATGTTTCCAAAGCCCTGGTAACCGCTGCGCGGGACGCGCTGCACCAGCTGAAGGTTTGTCTTTCCTTGCCTCGTGTTCCGCGCCTCCCATCAGTTCTGGTGACATGTTAAAGAATGTGTCACTCCTTAAGCAAAGCTGTTGGTCTTCAATATTTATAGCTAAATAAACCCCAGTAAAACAATACCTGCAAGGGTTAAATTAGAGTTACCGGGACTAACTCCAGAGGAAAACGTGGGAGAGGTGTTAAATATACAAACTAATGGCACCAGGAGTTGGTATGAAATGGTTTTTCCAGAAGGGAGACAAGTGTAGCTTTGCCTCTGTATCTAAATTTGTTTTGCCAGAGTCACAGTTTTGTGCAGAGAAGGAAGAATGGACTTGTGGTTAAAGATTCAGATACCCCAGTGATGGGTGCACAATCAAAACCTAGATAGAAGGGATAGGAGTAGGTGCAGTTCAGGAAATGTAGGTTCTGTTGGTGGCTAGATGCACTCTATGGCTTGGGCAAATTGCTTGGGCACCATTTATACTACAAATTTAACTCTGCCATTGCACATTTGTCTGATGTGGCTAGGTTAAGGAGTCCCATCTACTACACAACAAATAAAAAAGTATGCTAGAACATGGATTATGTCCCTGACCGTGAGCTGGGAGTTTTTGATATGTAGTACACAGAAAGATCAAGGACTCATCTTCATGTTGTCTCATTTTTAAAATAGGGAAAATAATACATACCTACCTCTTAGAGGTGTTGTGTTTATCGATGTGTGTAAAAGCGTGTTTGAGATATTCAGATGGAAGGAGCTGTAGGAGGTTTTATTTCTATGATAGGAGGCATCCTCTTTCTAAAGCAGCCAGATGGTGCACATTCCCAAACTGTGTGTAGCCTTACATCTCTGGCTCTTCTGTTTGCTTCAGCTAATCAAATTTCTGTGTCCCTGTTTTTAACCATATTCATCATTTGGTATTTCCAGAGAACTGTAATAATTTGTCCTTGCTTGTTTCATACTTAACTTTCATTTGTGCGTCCAATCCTTTTTATTATTATTATTATTATTATTCTAATTGCTGCCTGAAATGACGCTTGACCTGTCATCTTCCACTTGGGCAGGACTTAAATCAACTGGGACAAATTCGGGGATGATAGATATGGTAGTATAAATTATTGTTGGTAAGCAGAACACAATACGGGGATTGACTCCAGCCATCCTCCCTTCAATACTTCTTGGTGGTTTCATTATTTTTTCTTTTCTGTGACAGTTTATTTGGGGATTTCACACAACAGCCTAAGATTCTGGGGTTGTTTTTTTTAAAGAACAGATAGAATCAGGTTAAGGCAAAGAGATGGTCTGCATCACATATCCAGTATTATGCTCAGTAAAAGTTAACCTAAATAGGTACTTTAAGCTTAGTTACAATTAATAAAGAAAATACCTCTTTATTTTCTCATGAGAACTTTCTTCCCTTAAACTTTTTGTCTTCCAGCCTGAGTGGCCCTCTGTCACAGAGCATCTCCCTCTGATCTGTGTCCTGCTAGTGTTTGCTTTTATTTTTTCCTTATCTGTCCTGTTTGAGAGATTTTTTTTCCACCCTCTGTTCAGTTTGGTTAATTCATATATAGTCACTAACTCCTGTAAAACATGCCATCAACTAGGCAATTAGGTAGTGTGTTGGCAGCTGGATAAAGAATTCAAACAGCCCAGCATGAAAGTATCCTCTCGCATTATCTCTTTCTAAGAATTTTATGGGTTGGTTCAGGAGGCATCCTTTTCTCTGCCATATCTTTTAGTTATATATGTCTCCTTTTCTTTTTACCATCTCTCACTGGTACAGTTGAACTGGTGGTAACAGTAAGGGGAATCTGTTTCCATCACCTCAATGAGACAAAGTGCCACTGATGGTTGGCCACAAGACAATGCCACTTGTCCATTTGAATGTTATTTGTCTTTCTCTTTTTTAAAAAGTAATCATTTTTTAAATTATAAGTTTGTGGTATATAATGTGCTGAGTGCAGATTCATCCTCTTAGAATGATTTAGAATGTTAACATAATGGAGACAATGTAATCCAGTGCAATGCACACAAAATATAAATCTATTTACAACCCTTGCTCCTAATGAAAATGATGGCAAAATTTCCTTTGACTTTAGCTTCATAGCTTGGATATTTGCTTGTTGGTTAAAGGCGCAAAGATATATAAAGAGGATGTTGAAGCACCTTCAGTTGCCATAAATCACCTACTATCCAGTATATTTCTGCTTATAAACATGCCCTGCAGCATTATGTGCAATGATTCAATCAATGTCCCCTTTGTTTATATAGGAGCTTGGCACGCTAGGATTTGAATGTACTCTTGAAGAGGTCGATCTTGAAGATATCACTAAGAATAAAATCAACACAATTAAGGCTTGTATGGCAGAAGAGTCAAAGGTATTGCAATAAATAAAAATCAAGTTTCCTCACCTTTATATGGAACCATCATGTAATTCATCATAGTGATACAGAATGTCACATTCATGTCTGGTGTCTTTGATTTTCAGACTGAAAATTGTCCTACATTTAAAAGAGCTGATTTTGATAAGGTAAATTGCCAGTCTCCCAAAAGAACAAATCATTTGCTTTTTGTTTGTCTGTAAGCATCTAACAGCACTCTCCAATATTTCTTAATCCTTGTATCTTCTACAGATTGAATGCCTGCGAGGTATCAATGAAGACCTGAAGGCTTACAAGGCAGAGTTCAAGAATTTCAATAACCAGAAGATGCTGGCTGCTATTGACAAACTGATACAGGTCTGTTTTCCTTTCAATTGCCTAAAAGAGTACTTTATATTATTTCTATCATAAATGGAGTCCTGTTCTATGTGTTCCTTTCTGTAGTTACCCAAATAAGTTACTCTGGAATCTGGTCATTTAAAATCTTGATTATGATTTTTTCTTAAAATTGAAGAAAGTTTCTCATCTCTGTATAAATGAGGTCTTACTTTGATACTGTATATTACTGTATTAAAAAAGTGATTCCCTATCAGTGATGTAGTAAACATACTAGTAGCGAATTTTCTGTCTTTTTAATGGTATCTTACTTTGTCTCCCATCTCTACCATGAAATGGGGCGAGAGTGAGAGATAAGACTGTATTTTCGTAAATAATTAATATGTATTGATAGGAAATAGGGAACATATGTAACATGGTTATTAACAAAAACAACAAGGAGTCCGGTGGCACCTTAAAGACTAACAGATTTAATAGCTGGTAGCAATCATGTCCCTACTTTAAAATAATTGCCTTTTTATTAACATAGCATATCTAGATGCACCGGAGATTCTAATAGTTGTCAAACGCACTGGATTTAATTATTTGTAACCCACAGCCCTCCCTGATTATCCTTTAAAGGCCCAAACCTGGCCTTGGCAGGGGAAAACTATTTACATCATTAGGAATGTTTGTCTGCATAAGAAATACAGGTTTGGGCCCTAACTATATGAATGGTATTATTACTATCATAGTTTACCTTTTCATAAAACATTTTATTTTTAATAGCTTAATTTTTTAAATTTAAACTAATTTTTTTTGCATATTCAAAGACTGATGTATATTGCTACTCTAAACATGGTTAAATTGTCTGACCAACCCACTTTTTTTTTTTTTTTTTTTTTTTTAAAAAGGCTGTGAAAATTAGCAGTGTGAGTGTGGAGCAACCATCTACAAACAGAGGATCAGCCTCTTTCAAAGAGAGAATGAGGTTATGTAGTGTTCTCCATGCTTTCACAATTCGCACTGTGACCATAACCAAGATGCTGAACTACTTGAATTCTCCTGGAAGCTCATCATAATCACTGAAACCTGGAAGCACTTTCTATAAAACATTGAATCAAAGCTATTTTAAGTATCTGAAGAAAATATATATTAGGTTCTACTTACTGCAAGAGCTCTGTGTGCAGAACTCTCACTGAAGTCATTGAAACTTGTACACACAGAGGGCTTCCAGGATATGGACCTGAATTTAAGAATACAGTAATATTTCTACAAAAACTTTTCAAGGATTAAGCACAATAATATTCTACAATATTTTTCATGACCTAAGTTGTCTTGAGCAAAATACTATCAGTGTCTTTTAAGCTAAGATGTTAAATTTCTACATTTCTAGAAAAAATAAGCTATATTATATCAACATGTTCTCAACATAACAAACACCCAGGTATAATTTATTTATCTTAAATTATTTATTTATACATTTGTAAGTTTTTATAAAATTATTATATAAATTGAAACCTATTTATAACATTCCTGACTTATTTATTAAACAATAAATAATAAATGTATAATCTGTATAATTAACTTTGGTCTTTTTCTTATTTGTGAATTAAAATCAATCTAAAAGGGATACTGTCACATCAGCAATTGTTTTTTAAAATATATTTAAATACTTGCTTGTAAACAGTACATCACTGTTAACACCCAAGTACTGGAAAAAAAATCTAATTTTGTTTTCTTTATTTGTGTTGGATATATACTCTCAGACAAGACAATGAAAGTAGATTACTCTGTCTACCTTATAGTTAATTTCCAGTCACTATACTAGATTCATAGGGTGAAATCCTGGTCTCACTGAAGTCAATGGCAAAAATAATCTATATAATTTATATTATATAATAAATATTTAAGGCCAGACGGGGACTACTGTGATCTAGTTTACCCTCCTACATAATACAATCATAGAACCTAGTAATCCATGTAATTTGCCAATGGAACTAAAGCATTTTTTTTAAAGGCATTGGTTTTGATTTAAAGATTCCAAGTGATGGAGAATTGACCACATCTCTGGGTAATCTGTTCCAATGGTTCTTTATATTCAGTTTAAAATACACATTTGATTTCCTGTTTGAACTTCAGATATTGTCAAGTTCTCAGGCCCTAATACAATGCCCCAGTGTTTGGGCTGCAAAGGCAACTGGGGAATTTTAATTCATTTTTGGGGGTGGGGGGAAGGAAATAAATACTACTAATAATAGAAGCATTTCTGTTGAACTTAGTTATGGTATCAACTTGTTTTTGATTTTAACCAAACCTAAAGCTTGAGTCAAATTTCAGCTGACAATGTTTCATTACAGAAGTGCAACCAAGGATTTACCTCTCTCTCTGAAAAGGTCTAATTCTTGTTCCCTCTGCATCTGAGTCTGGCCATTTACTACTCTTCCCTGCCCGGGGGGAAGGTAGAAGGGGAAACGCATTGATGCCACAGAAAAGACATTCTTACTGATCTCAGTTTCAGGGAATTGAAGTTGCAGGGAAACTCCTGCTTGGCTCCAGGGTGGAGCATGTTCAATGCAGAGCCACTCTTCCAAGAATTTAGCAGCCAAACTCTAAATCTGTACTGAGCATGTGTGAAATGTGATATTTCAAATGCTTATAAGTAGGCCAAATTTGAGGTGTTTTTTCTCACAGAACTGCAACAGGCCCATCCCTGACACCATGGTGACACCACTTGCCAAATTTCAAGTCCCCGCTCCACAGCATGGTGATGCTAGAGCTTGTAAATGAAATGGTTATAAGAATTTTTCTAATGGAGGCAAAACAACGTATTTTCCCCTACTGTCATCCTTGGAAAAGGATGAGCCATTTTTTTGCTGGAACCTTCCAAAAAACAACAAAAAATTATTCTGACAGACACCTGGCATGACATGTTTCAGCTGAAACAGTTACAATTTGGCAAGATTATGAACATCTGAAAACAGTCTCATAATAGCAAGTGTCAGACAACCTTGGCAGTCCTGATCCCCCATGATGCTCTAACTTGTGCCAGAGCAGAAGCAGAGAATCAAGGATGCGCACCCAGTTCCCTGGCAGTCCTCACACTTTGTGGCATCCAGCAGAAAATGGACATGGCATAGAATCTGCCCCAATATTTGTTATGTGTGTCGATCCTAGAGGAACTCTCCTTGCTTAAACACCCAAATGATGGGTAAAATAGTCTTTCATCTAAATTTAAAATAAAAATGTGTTTGTTTGAACTAGCCCAATTGTTCAGCATTAGTTCAACAGGGGTTCCAAACTTGATTTTTGTCATGCTGCTATGACTGATTCACTAGTACATAGTGTTTATTTACTAATGGTTTTATATATTCCTTTTAGTATCACATGAATATTAAATAGAGAACATATGTTTTATTGTATTTCCAGTGTTTTTCTTCATATGACACTCACAAGTATGTCATCCCTACTTAAAATATGATTACACATACTGGGGTGGGGGGGGGGGGAAGCCCATTGTCTACTCTGAAAATTGTCTTCAATGGGGCCAGGATTTCACCCTGTGTATTTAATATTTAAATACATATTTAATACTACAACAAAGTCTGAAAGGCATGTTATTAAAAGTAATTGTTAATTAGGCAGATTTAACTACAAGTCTAACTAAAAGCTGGTAATCCCCTCTGAGTGGGAGGTAGCCTGCTGTGTTATTGATTTTAAATATGGAGGAAGACAATACCCTTCTTTTAACAACTAAAGAGATCCCCTAGTAGCAGAGATGGACAGATTATTCTTTACACCCACCTACTAAAAGCTTCCTCTGACATTCATCAGTCAGGAACAGTTGGCTTCATGACACAGTGTGAAGGAAATTTCTTGATACATTAATACCAGTGCCCCCACTATTATAGTCCCCAAAGTTGCAGTGTCTACAGTACTTGCTGCCGGTACTACTGCATAATTTTGGTGCATAAAGCTCCCGATGACGTGATCATGCTATGGCCTGATATGGTATAAAGATGGGAGGAAGTCAGAGTTTTCTACCTTCACAGTCTCCCTGAGAACTTGATATTTAACATAATAATTGAAAAGCAGATCTGATTTATTTATAACCAGAAATCCAATACATTTTATATCAACATTTTAATGTCATTTCATGAAGGAAATTAACTGATTTTTATAAAATCTTTGAATGCTCAATAAACATTTATAAAATATTTTTATTAAAAAATTCACAACAAATGTCTGTTACTGTCACAATCTCTCTCTCATATAAATGAAGGAATCTCCTCGCTGATTCTAATTAGGTAGCACTTGGCCAAACAGGTAGCCCAACTGGAGCCATCTTAAATGATCCAGTGTGGGAACAGTTGAAGGTTAAATATACACGGATTAGGCTTTTCTAAATAATTTCAGTTAACAGCTGGTTTAAAAAAACTGAATTAATAAAAAACATTAAAAAGTATGAATATATCTTAGAGCAACTTTGAAATGTTTTTTTTTCCACCACTTTCTAGGGGGACTTAAATTGTCTCAGTCCTAATTTGCCTCAGAAGAATAAGGATTCCTTCATGTTTGATTCTTTTTTTCTTCTTATAGTTTACGTTCTGATCCTGCAATGAGATGCACACAGGCATACCCCCTGTACACACACTGTGCTCCATTGTAGGATCAGGTGCTCCTCAACCATCTTTGCAATTAGATGGAGTAGGTCCATATTTTTGAGGGTTTGTTACATTCATCAATAAGGTAGGAAGCACACAATGACACAAGAAAGTAACGTATAATATTCTCCAAATAAAACAATTTTCTGAAGTGCCTTCCCAAAATGTTATGGGTTTATGCAATCACAGAAAAACAAACAATGGGCGGTAATTTAACATACTGCAAAAATTAAGTATATTGGCTGTGGTATCAGTGGCTGCAGAATTTCCTGAAGTGTGTTTTCTCATATATGTGGAGGCATAGAGTCAGCCCTTAAAAAGCAACTTTGGAACATATAAACGGCAGCTTAACCAACAATAAGGGCATGCATTGTCAGGTGAAAAATCGGATCATAATGACTCTCCTTCATGTGGGCTCATCAGTGCTCAGCCATTGATCTTGGCTGTAACCAAGAAAACAGAGAAAGCTCAAAGAAGAGAACCAAAAGTAATGTACATGATTTAAGGAACTCCCATTGACCAGAGAGACAGCAAGGTCTAACGGTGGGAGGGCTTGAAGTTCCCCTCATGTATATCTCTCCTCACTCATTCCACTGGAGGGAATAGGGTTTCCCCACAAACACAGAAGAGGCTACAGAACTAGCCTTTGAGCCCCATGTATTTCTGTGGCTCCAAACAGATCCTGAGAGATCAGCAGGAGACCAAAGCATGGCATTCTGGGCTCCCAGCACTGCCTCGAGTCCCACTCTCTGACAGCAAAGAGTCAATAGAGCTACACAGCCAGGGATTCTGCAGTTAGTAGAAACTCCTGGAACTCCCCTTAGAAGGGAATCCACATTATGGAATGGGAGCAGCAGAAACATAATACTCTGGTGTTATGACATTCCTGCCCCAAGTTCCACTTGGCACGGGTTAGGGAAAGAGATAATAAATACCCTTCCTGCTCCAACCAGCCCACAGCTGCCCTGGCTCACTCACTCTCTACCTCCTCTATCCAAAGGAATTCTCGGGCTAGTGGAGAGCCCTCAGAGGTCCAGGGGAGGGTGACCACTGCCACGGAGTTGCTGAACGTCATTCATGCATGGCATGGTTAACTCTGTGGTTCCTGTCTGTGCATGGATATTGGGGGCATAACCTCTATTGATCATGTCTATTCTATACGAATATTCAGTGCATCCTGACTAGACTTTCACTGTTGTGTCCTAGTATTCATTGGGTTAGGTAAAAACCTGGGCTGGTTCTACACTATTGGTGGTTTCAAAGTCCTGGTCTACAATGTGGAGGGGATATTCCAGGACTTTACAGAAAGTTCTGCAGAAACTGAACCAAGGCATAGAGTAAACTAATGCAACTAACACAAAAAAAGGCTATGGGCAAGATCCAGAAGAACTCATAGTTAGTGGACATAGCACTATAGAGATATACATTTTCAGAAGGATGAGAACAGAATTTATAAGATCAGCATGAATACAAAGACCCCTAACAGAAGAATGTATATAAGCGTAAGTAGGATTTCATCTAACAGCGAACTGGTAGAGGGCTGCAAAGATGAACGCTGATATAAGATCAGCATGTGATATAATTTAAATTATATTTTATTTGCGGAATAAAATGTTAAAAACTCAAAATTCCAATGCAGATAGGTATTTCTCCATTTTTATTCATATTTTAAAAAGCACACATAACCAGAACACATTCAAAGGGAGACAATACAGAGACATCCACAGGAGCCCTTAAAACTAGACCACAATCTTGCCTGCAAGGAAGCAGTTCTGTATTATAGATAACAGTATTTTAAAAGCTTAAAAACCTATAAATGTGTTTTCTGTTTGCTGATTTATCTATTGACCTTTTGCTTTTCTGCAACCTTTAGTAAATTTTCTATTTCTAACCTACACACCTGTCATTTTAATGTTCAATTTAAGTTAAAAACAGTAAAAAAAGTCCAACACTAAAAATGCATTTAATTTTACATTGATTATAATACAACAAAAAGCTGTACAACATACAAACTCATCTTATAAGAAATGTGTGACCAACTAGACACGTAGAGTCAACATGGCCCTGCCAGAGAAAAGTTAAAGCTGCCTTTAGTACGTATTGGTGCTACATTGAAACTAATTCATCTTTGAATAAACATAAAACCAGCCTAGCAAAGAGGCGGTATACACAAACACACACAATGATCATGTAATTGCATTATCATGAAGGGTTTATGCACCATGTACATGGCAACCCATCCTGAGCCTCTGAATGTATGTACAGAGAAATGTTTTGTACCCAGTGAAATTGGCAGTATTGTTTTATAGGTGATGATGAGAGGTACATTAATGAGCCCCTCAAGCCATTTCTAATCTCTGTGGAAATCACCCATGGAACTGGATAAAAATGCTTAATATTGTCAAATAGTTGGAAAGGGTGAGCTGTTTTCAAGGGTGGGTTAAGATAGCTCACATGAGTTGTTCAGCACCTAGCAGGAATGGTTCAAAGGAGACATGAAGTCCGTGGGAGATTCAAATTGCATTAGGATTGCTGCTTCAGTGTCAACTATATTGTTAATATGACTGGTATCCAAACATTTGAATAATTACTCCTGAAAATGTTAAATTCATTTACATTGGTGCAAAATTCAATTCACACTCTTTCCCAAAATAATGTTTTGTCTAAACTTTTCCAAAGATTGTTTATGGCTTGTATCTTCATAACGGGTCTCCTGAGTTCCAAACTGTAGAGAGAGTCCCCAATTAAATCATATTTAACAGTATGAAAAGTTTAAACCATTATGCAGCTGAATGTCCCTGAGAGTTCTCCTTTTAGCTGTTTCTCCATGAACTCATGTCTGCTACAAAAAACCTGAGGAAATGAACACACAGATGTATATATTAGCTGGCCTCTAGGTGCTACTGCAATAGAATTGTTAAATAGTAATAATAACAAATGTACATAAAAATCTTATGACACTATACAGATATAATTTTAAGCTAATTTTCCCCTTCAGAAAGACTTTCCCTGGATCAGTTTAGGCCCCAATTCTCCAAACAGCCCTGCACATGCTTGACTTTACAAATATGAGTAGTCCCATTGAAATCAATGTGCATAAAGTTAAGTACATACAAAAGTGTTTGCACGATCAAGGCCGCAATAAGCTTGGGCAAAGGTGCACCTTCAATGTTACTAAAATATCTAGGAACAAAGGTACAGACATTTCTGCAATGAGCTCTGTAATAAAAATAAGATTTTGCTTGGGTTTATAAGGGTGGTTGATTTTAACTGACATGGAGCTATACCAACTGTTCTAAGTATTAATCACTCCAAAATATTTTTTCAAAAAGCAAGTATAAAATACTATAATTATAAAATAGAATGAAAAACAGCTGAATCAACATTAAGGGGGAAAACTTCATGTTTTATTTACACAATACAAATATATATTAGGGTGTCTAGTGAATTCTCTGATATTGAAACCAAAAGCATGTCTGAAACACAATCACATAATGAAGTATAAAGAAAAGTTGATGTGTACCTTCCAGTATTTGTATTATTTCATATGACACATGATCCTTGAGACTGTCATACAAATTTTGCGCAGTTCCATTACTCTTTTCACCTTTCCTCCACTTCTCCAACATCAGGAATTTATGAACATTAACCTCTTCTTCTTTTGCCTGAATCTGCTGAATATCTTTCATTTCTAACTTAAGACATTCAATGCCAATTTCTTTCCAATCTTTACCCATCTTCTTTGCAAGAGTCATCAGTTGCTGATCAGTTAACGTAGTTTTAGCTTTAGTTCCATCTAAAAAACACACAGGATACAAATCAGCTGCAACAAGAAGACATACGACAAAGGTGATCATATTCGTTAGTGAGCTGAAGCTGCATTTTCACTTGTTTTATTGATGCTGCTATAATGCTGACTAATGAAAACTGTACTGACTTGCTAGCTTACCATGCAGTATAGGAACTGACAAGACAAGCAAAGTAAGAGTCAGGAGTGATGAAAAGTCACATGAAGAAGAAGTGCAAAACGTCCGAGGTTGCAAAAATATCTTAAATTTAGTTTTCATTCCCAGGACTTGAAAAGTTTTTCTGATCATAAACAGCTACTTGTCTAGTGGAAAAAATGCACAAATCTGAAACATCTAGATATGCTGTTATACAGAATAACCAGATACTTCAGATGCATATGCAGCATTAAACTGCAAGCCAAGTTCCTTCAATCACCTGAAAAACGCAGGTATCTAGCATAACTGTCTATCTTAAAGTGTGCTACTGCTTACAGAGAACGATGATTAGTATACTTTTGTAATAATTACTTTAGTAAGAAGTCACAACCGGCATGGTTATATCTATCTAGTCAGAACCTCAATGGTCTAATCAGATTTCTATTTCAATGGATCATTTTATAAAATACTGTAAATGAAGTTTTTAAATGATTAAATAGCTCCCTCTAGTGGCTAAAAGCCACCACACAGAACTATAGAGAGAGCCTACCATTGACATGCAAATGAAACCTGATTCTTTCTGCATTTCTTGAATATCACCTTATTCAAACATCATCATTTTCTTTGGATGAGCTGACCATCCAGAAATAGGTACTGGAAGCAAAAGATGTATCCCTTTCCTGGACAGAATTCAAACACTGTAAAGCAGGGGTTAAAAATGTAATGTAAAGTTCTGAGCTAAAACTTTATATATATGAAATTGAAAACAGAAACTGGATCCAAATGTACAATTTTGAATAGTGTCTACTGTAATATGATATTCCTCTGTATGACATTTTGGTAATTAACCCAATCATGTCTATAATTTCTCAGAGTAACCATTAGGAAAGCCAGCAAGGCTGAAATTTTAGCAATATGTTTGGAAGAAAAATAAAGCTAAGATTCTTAGAGGCATGTAGAATTATCCGTGCAACCTCTTATCTGTTAGCATATCCAGTAGCAGCAGGAGCATCTGACATTGGAACCTATTGAATTACGGCCCTGATTCAGCAAAATACATAAGCGTGTGCTTGAGTCCCATTGACTTCTCAATGAGACCTACTGGGTGCTGAACACTTCTGAAAAATCAGGCTACTACTTTCAGATGCCAGAATAGGAGCTGAACTTTGGGAAGATCTGGTCCCAGTCGTGGGTGGAGAGTTCTTCTGGAAAAATAAATCCAGCACAATAGCAAAAATTCTTCAAAAGCAGCTCTTTTGTCTTGATGTACACACTCACCTAATTTATAGCATCAACCTATGGTCATACAAGCAAACATTTGTTCCTAAAAATGAGGTATATTGATGCCTTCTGCACCCACAAATGAAGGTTTCTGTCCCCATAAATTCTGTGGTCAGATTTGTGGAGGCCAATTTAACATTTAACCCTAAGAAATAAATAAATAAATAAACAGGATAAAATGAACCTTAAACAAATATTTTTGAATCACACAAAAATTCTCTACTGAAATATCTCTACCTTTTAGCCTTTTATTATAAAATTCTTCGTCAGAAAGGCTGTTGCTTGATTTCCGTCTTCTGTTACCTAAGGAGTAGATGACAACTGATTTTACTTTTTTGTATCATATATTCTTCTCCTGTGCTTAATCAGCATATAGTAAAGCAGAGTGGTCTCTCTCCAGTGCAGCGGGGGTTAACTTCCCTTGGGAGGCGCAGCTAAGGTTGCCAATTTTGGTGGGAAATATTCCTGGAGGTTTCATCACATGACATAATCTTTAATTCACTAGATGCAGTTAACCCTGTCCCACCCTCCCCAGGAAGTACAGGGGCAGGGCAGAAAGTATAACAGTAGGGCCCTGCAGCTCAGTTCAGCTGGACCAGAGAAAGAGGCAGACAGCTCTCTCAGAGAGCTGAGCCCTCAGTGAGGTCCAGGACCAGTCATGGCGAAGACCAGCAACCTACTGCCCCAGAAGACGGAAGACACTGGGGAGAGACTGGAGCAAGGGCCGCCCTACTGCAAGACTGCAAGCCAGAACTGGGCTGCGACAGAGTGACACCCACAGGAACTGGTAGGAAGTTGCCCAGCGAAACCAGACATTGGTCCAGTTGGACCCGCTTCCCTGCTGACCCCCTGGTGGGATTGCCTTCCACTGCTAGGCTCCTAGGCTGGGACCTGGTAGATCAGTGTGGGCATGGGTCCCCTTTCCCCACCCTACACTTGGGAGCTGAGGTCCGGAGTCACAGACTGTTGGTGGCACCCCAACCAGGGACCGGGGACCCCTGCTGATGGGCAGTGTGCTGGGCCCCCCGGTACAGATAGGAAGTGCTAAATGGGCAATTACATGGTTGCAAGTCAGGCCGCCCTGACAAACATCCGGCCAACCTACTGACTCCCCAACGCTGCCGGAAGGGGGTGCCCTAACCTCGAGAGGGAGAAACCTTACACAGCACAACCGAGGTGTAAAAAATATAAATCATGTAGTACCCACTTTTCTTTTATATAACTTACTGATTGTGTTTCTTTTCCGCTCATTCTTGTTCTGGTCATGTAGTATCCAGTCACCTGTTAAAATATAAATGTTTTCTGGAGTAAATGAAAGGCACTACAATAATTCTCACTGCTAATCCACAAATCCAGTAATTCTCACACAGAAAAATTATTAGTCTCTTCCACTGCTCAGCAAACATTTAACAGTAGGGTACTGTAATGAGATATCATTTTGCTATGATTTTGTTACTTTTATTTGACAACATGTATAATATGATGTATTATCTGTAATAATTAGAACTCAACCACCCTTACCAAAATAAATTAAAACAGTCTACTCTGCAATGTGAAATTCTTTAAATTTTTATTGTTTGGTCAATTGATAAACAGCCTGATCCAAACCCATGGAAGTTAAGATTTAACCCTTGGCTAATTCTGACCATCTTCTAACGGGTTCTCAATCATTAGTGTAAATAAGCAAGGTTCTACATAGTGTCATGTTATTCTAAATCAGCATAACATGATATTTACATAACATTCATGAACTAAATCTTTTTTGAAACACAGTTCCCAAATATCCTAATATCTATTCCTTTCTGTATTTATTTCATTACCGAGATTCATTCACATCCCTACAGACTTTCATAATGAATAGCAACTTGTTAGAAAATCAATCTACTTGGGTAAAACAGGGAAGAAACATTTTGGAAAATGACAAAGTACAATATTATTATCATTATATCACTAGATCTAAAGTTATAAAACTCTGTATTGTATAAATATTTATTTTACATTGATTGTTGGGCATCTTTCAGTCTTGGTTATCTAAAAATTTGGGTAATATTAGCTATACAAATAAACAAACAAATAAATAAATAAATATTTCACAGGGTAAAGTTCCACCATGTACCATAAACTAAATCAGAGTAATCAATGCTCTACGTCTAGTGTTTTAGGTAAATTCATATTTATACTATGCTCATGTAAATATATATTCAGGCCTTTGCTCTTTTTCAAATGTATATTATACATATATTATTAACCAAATTGAAAATATATTTTGCCATTCTCATTTCTGAGATTGTAATGATGTTATGCTCTCATAACTGCACTTCTGCTGCAGCACATGTGAAAACCCACAAAATAAAAGTTATAAAATGTTGGGATATTTTATATTATATATAATATTTAAATTAATATAAATTACATTACATTTTCCAATATTCCCTGCCTCTGTCCTAGCCACAAGGATCACAGCTGTCTTTTCCTGGTGTTTCGGCACTTTCAGCTCCAGATCTGGTGACCTCAATGGAAGCAGAATTTGACCCAAACCACAAGTTTTCAGTAGAAACAAACTATAGCTGTCAAACACAAAAAATACTCACATTCTCTTAGTTTTGCTTTCCAGACAATTTCTTCAGACTCGAGTTCAATCAAAGATAATGTAAACTCCATAGGTTGCTCCAAGTAGACTTCAAAATAACTTTTTAATTTTAAGAGGGAGCCATCAACAAATTCAATTTCCTAAAAAATGTAAATCATTTTTTTTAAAAAGCTGAAACATTTACTATAAGCATTAAAATAGCTTAAACATAAAAAGGCAGCTTTTGGAAAAGCTGTGGCATAGATCTGGAGTGTAACCCTGGCCCCAATGAAGCCAACAGGAAGTTTGCCAGTGATTTCATGGGGGGCCCGGATTAACCCCTATAGTTTTAGAGTTTCTAAGGGTATAGCTTTCCTGTAATGATAACAAACAAATGTGCTGGAATTCATTTACACTGATGCATGCCCTGAATTTATGAATATAAATGACAAAATCTGTATTTTTCACAAAATGTTTGCAGCCGAGCTGTGATATGCACATTGACAGCACAATTATGTATTCATATAGAACATACCTCAGGAGTTATTTCAGCTTCTGATTCACTAATTAATCTGTATCTCTTTCCATCTTGTAGTTGTTTTTTACAAACTGGGGGCTTGTCAATTTTGATGAATTTCTTATCAGAATGTTTTACTGCATTCGAGATATCCTAAAATTTAAAAATACATTTTACTTGATATTCATCCTGGTCTACAAATTAAAGAATTTCATAAACAATGATGTGCTTCTAAACTTCCTTGTGGTTTTCTCTATCTTCAGTTTTATTAATGGATGGCGATGCTTTTCCTTGGAAAGTAAATGATCAAATCAAACATTTACAGATCATGGGATATATTCTCACTTACAGCTGGACAGGTTTATGTGCCCAAGGCACCCAGATCCCTCCCCAATCAGATATTGATGGAGCCTTCACCCTGAGCAGATCAGTAAGCCACTGTATTCGGATGATATCGCATTATGCAAATAACAAATGTGATTGTCTATAGGGCTTTTTTTAAAGTGCTACTCACAACTTTCATTTCTGCTCATTACTAATATCCCATTTTACCACATACGAGCCTTTCTACACATCAAGCCTTATAAAAAGCAATATAGAAATTTACAAAAGCATTCATTAGCAAGGAACCACCAGAGAAACATTCTTCTACTTTCTCTAGTTTCATTGAACCCTATCCTCTGAGGTGCTGAGCACTTTCCACTGCCATTGAGAAAACTTCCCAGGGGAAATGAGGGTGCCCAATTCTTTGCAGGACTGGGTTCTAAAAGACATGTTGACTTCATATTTAACCTCCTCTGGGATTGTATGGTAAAATACTGAACAAAAGCAAAGAGCGGACCTATTGTCAGCCCCTTGCAAACAGCATCATAATGCTGACTGTTGATCAGAGTGAGTCCTGCCAAGTGTCTATTCTTCAGTAACTTTCAAATATCATTCTCTCACTATTATGTTACATGGGGCAGTTCAAAGGTCAATTCTGTCACGAACAATGAGTATGAATGACAGAGTATGAGCTAGTCTGGGAGTTGAACCATTCTAGTCCTCATCCTGATCCTGCAAGCCCTCCATGCATGGAATTCCCAATGACTCTTAGACCTCTGCATGTGAGACACTCTATTGGAAGATCAGACTCTGTATGTCTACAACTCCATGGGCATATTAATAAATTTGATGTACGTCAGATCTGAGGCCTAAACTACATGACAATGTCAACATTTTAATGATCAACATTTGGGCATATTTATATTGAATCTGAGCACTTTCCACTGGTAAATTAAAAAAACAGACCTTACCTTTATAAATGAATCATTGTTTGTTGCTACATACACACGAAATGATAAGGAAGGGTGATTATTGACAACTTTGTATAAAATTACAGCCCCATTGTAATGTACTGGCTCTTGTGTTTGAATAACCGGTCCTACTGGAGAGAGAGAACTCACATGCCATTTGACATGCGTCATTGAATGATCAACAGAAGGCTCAATTGCTGGACCAGTACTTTTAATATGTAAAACTTTGAATGTCATGTCAGATTCATGATCTGCAAAGAGATACCAAAACATTAACATTTCTTATAATGAATAGCAATAGATAGCTACATTTGTTAAACTCAATGTACAGTACTTACCATTTAGGCTGAGGGAATGTGGGAACTGAATGCAAGTAAGAACAGAGGCTGAGTCACAACTGACATCAAATATAGGGCCACCAACTATCCATGGTTTTTTAACATAATCAGCATATTTGCTCCAAGACAACACAGAATATTTGATTACAGCAGCCTTGGTTACATCGAAAATCAAGCCTGTAACAGTACATTGGTAAGTTCCCTCTGCCTCCAGCTTCAACCTGTATTGGACAAATGTGACAAATCCAGTTTAACTTTTATTACATATTAAATATCACGTAATGTGATTTGTTTAAAAGTGGTTCATATGAGACAATTTATTTTTTAAAAATGACTCTTTCCTTTGGAGGTTTTCTCCCCACCAAGAACAGAACCCTATTAACAAACAAAAAAGCATGGAAAATAGCACATAAAATCTTTTAATTTAATTTTTTTTTTAAGATTAAACCTAGGTTTGTTTGTTTCTTTGTTTGTTTTTTTAGCATGTCAGCTAAATGAATGCAGGAATGGAGGAAGTCCAAACCAGTGCAGAGCTTGATACACAGGTAAAGTGGAGAGCTGCTACCTGCACTAGGGGCTCAACCCAACTCCTATTGACTTCAATGGATGTTAGACCAGACCTTAGCTGAAGTTTCTGAGGGTATGTCTTCACAGCCGCTCGGAGTGTGATTCCCCATGCAGGCAGCACAGACACATTCTAGCTCTGCTTGAGCTAGTATGCTAAAATAAAAGTGTGGACAGGGTGGCACAGACAGCTAGCTCGAGCTGCCACTCTTGCCACCGCAGCCACACTATTTTTAGCACGCTAGCTCAAGCAGACCTAGCACATTTGTCTGCCCATGCTGGGAATCACCCTCCCAGCTGCTATATAGATATACCCTGAGTGATATTCAGAACTAATCCCAAGTAAAGCACATTACAGTAATCCAATCCAGAGGTGAGAAATGCATGAGTAACTGTGGCAAGGCAAACATTCAAATGGAAAGTACACAACCGTTTAGCCAAGTTCAGGTGAAAAAAAGGGAATTACAGAACAAGACACCTTACAGAAGCCTCAGTATAGCAAAGGACTTAAGCACATGCTTAACTTTAATTATTTCAATGGGACTACTCACATACTTCAAGTTAAGCTTTGCTGGATTTGGCCCAGAAGCTAGTGCTGATGAGAGTAATGAACTGTTTATTTTTAATGGATTTTGAGGCATCTTCACTTACAATTATGAACATGTTACTGAGCAGGACACATAAAATAAATTAATCTCTTATGTAATTCAGCTGAAGAGAGAAGCATTTTGAGCTGGACAATGTAAACATCCCCCAATTACATTAAACAATACCTACCAAAATTGTCCTCTGGAAAGTTTTCTGGGGGTCACTTGCTCTTTCTGGTTCTGTAAGTATAAATGAATAAATTTGGTGAAGCACAGATTTTGCAGTATTACAATTTGCAAAATACTAACACAAATTCTAATGTGGATTTTAAAAACGTACATGTTCAGTCTTGACATGTTCACAACGAAACTGGCTATGAGCCTCTAAATAAAAAAACAGAGGGGAAAAAATCAACTCTTGAAAATGAAAAATTATTAAAAATTGTCAGATGAACGATTTCAACAAGATCCATTCATACCTGATTCAACAGGTGGCAGCAATTCATTCTTTTCCAATTCTTCATCTATAAAAAATATTACTTTTATAAAATACACGTTTCATACACAAATATGTATAGTGAACTATACTCAAGCTGAAACGGGCCCTATTCAAAGCTTTTGCATAAAATAAAGCTGAGGATGATCTTTTTTAATACCCTTCTATCGGCTCTAAACATTCTAACCTCCCTTTGATTCTAGTTTTTTCCACTGCTTAATCCAGTGATATTTTGCGGAAAAACACTATATATCAAATCCGTCAGCCCTCTAGGCAAATTTCTGCTCCCAGGTGCACTGGCACAACTCCACTGACTTCAACTGCCTACACAAAAGAAATTAAGCTACTATTCCCTTCCCTCAGCAGCAACCTCATCTCCTTTATTTCAATTCAGATCATAGAAACAGACTCATGAGATTCATAAAGTCTGATTTAAATGTAAATAATAATAAAAACTCTTTCATCAATACTGTATTTCTGTCTCAACTGTCCAAGGCATATGGTCACCTGTGTTTAAGTGTTGTCTTTCTGTTGAATCTTGTGGTTCAACCACAAGTTATTGGCATAGATGCAGAAATCACTGGGTTAAATATATGGCCTGTGTCATGCAAGAAGAGAGATTAGATGATCACAATGGTCCCTTATGGCCTTCATATCTAAGAATGTATGAAATAGTGGACAAATTTCAGGGTCCTATGAAAGTAAGCACAAAGACTCTATCATAATGCGTATGCACAAGAGGGCATGGGCCACCTTAATTCTAGCATCTCCTAACTTTTCAGTGTTTGCCTTTACAACCTTAATATTCTTTTCACATAGGTTTTTTTGTGTGTAATATTTTAAGTTTTTAAAAACAGAAATTGGAATCAACATGTGGAATCATACTGACCCCTACGTGTTTGTCAGTAGGATAGGAACATTTAAATCTACAGCACAGACCCTTGCCATTGAGTTAACAGAGTAACAGATAGCTGTAGTAGGTTGTTATCTTCTAGGTGGATCAGCAGCAGATGGGGATCAGACACACACTTTACCAATGGGTTTCCCAGGTATTTGCTGACAGCAGAGAAATGCTGAGGGGAGTCATCGAAGTCATAGACCCTTTTGCTCCTGTTCCCCGCAAACCTTCTGCCCATGTCCCCTCCAGCCTGTCCCTGTGCCAGTTCTGCCTCTCCCCTCAGCTCCCCATCCCAGTTTCCTCCATACCCCACCTAGCTTTTCACCCCAGTCCCATTCTCCTTGTCTATCCAGTCCCAGTCTCCACCCCTCCAGGCTCCTCATCCCAGTTCCAGTCACCTTGCCCAGCCAGTCCCAATCTTCCTGGTCTTCTTGTCCCACTATCCTTGCCCAGCTATTCCAGTTCCCACCACCACTGGCTCTTTGTCTGATCTCAATCCCCCATCCCCTTCCGGGAAACCCATTGGAAAAGTGTGTGAACGCATGAACGCAGCCAGCTGTTCTGGCACCTCAGCAGCCTCTGGTAGGCAAAAGGCGGAACTGCAGCACTTCTGGGGTAGAATGTATTTTCTGTGGGGGAAAAAAATTCGATGCCCAGTGCTGCAGATCTCCCCCAGAAGTAGAAGTTCATCACAGCACCCTGCCGCAGAGCCAGGTTCAGACAGAGTAGGGCACCCAGGTATGCTGGGGGGTCAGACTGGGGTTCAGAATGGCTAGTGGGGGGACAGACTGGGGCATGGGCTCAGGAGCTAGTGGGGTGACAATGTTGAGCCTGGGGATGGAGGAGAGAGGCTGCAGAAACCCATGGGGATGGGGAGTGCAGGGACAGGGGCAGATGTGACTGACTGAATGGGAGAGGCTTGGGGTCAGCCGGGGTCTGCATCAGGGAGGCTTCCATACTCCCTAACAATCACCCCTCTCCCAAAATAGCTTCTCACACCCACACCCAACATCCTCCAGATTCACTCCTAGGCTCCTTCCCCTTCCCTCAGCAGCTCCGTTACCCCTGACTCCCCCAAGCCTTTGCACTATTTCTGACAGGTGCAGGAAATACAGTTCTGTATTGTATTTTAAATGAATTACTCAAAGTTCTGCATTAATATGCCTAGTAAGGAATCTATGTAAAAAAAAATTACTAGAATCTTTTTTTTTTTTTGGTCGTATTGTTACAGACATACTCACTGACAGATATTTTGAAATAAAATACCAAAATAATGAAACTGGCATGATTATATTGTGTTATTTTGACAAATAAAATATGCAGAATTTTGCAGAATTTTCAAATATTGTGTGCAGAATATTTTATTTTTTGGTGCAGAATTCTCCCAGGAGTAGCAGATGGAATCTTCAGAGAATTTAACTGCCAAATTCTAAAAAATCTCTACTGAGCATGTGTGAATGAGATTTTTAAAGGCTTGTAACTTGGCCAAATTGAGACACTCTTTTACGTAGATGACAAAAAGCCTATCCCTGACCCTAGGGTGATTCCCCCATGCCAAATTCCAAGTCCCAGCTTCAAACCATAGACGCACCCGAGTTGTGGGTTCTCAAACTTTATTTTTCACGGACCACTTTAAAATTGCTGAGGGTCTCGGCAGACCACTTAATGATCTTTCCAAATGTTGTTTGTACCGTTAGCTAACTATTGTAAAGCACTTTGGATAAAAGCGCTATATCAAAAAAAATCCTTCTCCAGGGTCCAGGCACCTAATTTGAGGTTCTCAAACTGTGGTCCATGGACCACCAGTGGTCCGCGAGCTCCTTTCAGGTGGTCTGCAGATAGTTCCCTCTAAGGTGCGCACCTGGGTGGCCACACATGAGAGAATGAAGGGCCAACCACCTAATCAGTGGAGACACCTGTGCAGCTCCACTAATTAGGTGCCTGGACCCTGGAGAAGACGTACATGTAAGGTGAGGTGGTGGCCTTGGGGGGAATAGAGGGTAGGTAGGAGGGGGCAGTGGGGTGAGAAGAGGGGGTGGGGGGAATTTGGGACGTGCAGGGCTGTGGCAGCCAGAGAAAGAGGTGACTTTCCCCAGCTCCTGGGCTGCGGCAGCCGGGGAGAGACACCCCCTCCTTCCCAGCCCCAGCTCAGGGGCTGCTGCGGTGGGGAGGAGAGGGAGAGACCTCCCCTCATTCCCAGCACCAGCTCTGGGGCTGCCGCAGTGAGGGAGAGAAGGCACATCCATCGCATTAGAAAGGTAAGACTACTGATATTAAAATATGAGTTGTGTGCTTTTATTTGAAGAACAAAAAATGTTAATTATTATTAAGGTTTTTTTTATATAGTGTTTTTATCCAAAGCGCTTTACAATAGTTAGCTAACGGTACAAACAACATTTGGAAAGATCATTAAGTGGTCCGCCGAGACCCTTAGCAATTTTAAAGTGGTCCGCGAAAATGAAAGTTTGGGAATCACTGCACTAGAGCTTCTCAATGAAATGGTTGTAAGAATTTTTCTCTTTAAATATGGGAAAAACAATGTCTTTTTCCCTAATATTGTTTTTGGAAATGTCTAGACCATCTTTGCTGAAACTTTGCAAAAAGCTTCAAATTGAGGCAGACACTCAGCATGGAACATATCAGTCTAAATCATTAAAGTTTGGTAATGTTATAAGCAGGGTTTTTTAATGGGAAGTGTCAGGCTACCTTAACTATAGGTGGCACTACCAGCTCTACCTATAATATGCACCACTGACCTGATTCTGCAGCCTTTAATCATGGTGAGTAGTGTATACTCACAGTAGTAGTGCCATTAAGATAACTTGCCAGCGGAAAGGGTTGCAGAATCAGGCTGTGAGAGTCTTTAATTATATGATCACACTATCTTAAGGGTGTGTGTGTTTGGTCTGGAAAACATGATGTTACACTATGTTATCTGAAAAACAATATGTGAACACATAATTCAAGGCTGTGAGTTGAATCCATTCTTGAGTAAACTCTATTTTACCTGAGATTAGTTTGCCACATAGCTATTTGCAATGCTTACATGCAATTAAGTACAGTAACTTTGGTATTTCCTGAATTTAGGGTTCCTAACTCTGCAACTTTAAAATTGCATTAAGAAAGTATTTTTGAATGTATTTATTTATAAATACATGGTGTGAGTGCGCAAGACCATACAATATAAATTCTTAACTGGGCTCTTTATTAATTTGGGGAAGGGTTAACAGGAAGAAATGCTTTACAACTAGGCTATGTTACACATTGTATCAACACTCAATCATTTGCTTGCTCTTGCATCCCATTGCCCCCTATAAATTATTATAAGAATCACTAATGGAACTTGTCCTTTTATGGCAACAGAAATAAGATCAAAAACATATATACTCACCTGATTTTCTTATATCTGTCTCCTCAGTATCTGCAGACAAAAAGCCTTCTAATTATTTAAATACAAATTATATATTCAACTTGTAAGAAATATAAATAGACTGCTGGTAATATAACACACACACATCAAAACATTCATGCCTTTCACCAACAGCAATCGCTTCCTGCAATTCTTTTTCTGCTCATCCTGTTTTGCCACTTTTGCTGCCAATTTTTAAGTGTATTTATGACCTCTTGTTGCTTAGGACAACTATTGTGATACAAAAAATGTTTTCAACAAGTATTGTGTCTAGAATAAAACAACTTTAGCCTTTTTTTTTTATTACTTCTCTGTATAAATCCTTACTCATGAAAGAGAATGGGATAAACGAAGAAGAATGAGAATGAGAATGAGAATAATTTGAACACGTAAAATATTATTCAGTTTCTCAGTATCTAATCACTGAACTGATCATAGTAAACAATTGGTTTGAAATTATTTACATAAACAGTAGTGTTTTAATCATTTAAGATCAATCTAAGAGCTTAAAAGAGTGCAAGGAAATACAGATACTGCAACATAATACTCACCTGACTCACTTTCAGAGCTACTTTCAGAGTTATTTTCAGAACTGTCATCTCCTTAATAGAATTACATCCCATTAGCCATGGTAATAATTAAATAACTTCACAGATAAGCAAAACATAAATTTAGATATTTAAGCAAATTAGCTGGGCAACAAGATATATATATGAGAGAGAGAGGGAGAGAAATGCAGCGGCCCTTATTGAGGGGGCTTTCTTGCTGGGAGTATACAACACCAATGCTCCAGAATCTGCACTGGCTTCCTATTGGTTTATGAGTAGAGTTTAAGATCTTGGTTATGACATATAAAGCCCTGAATGGTTTGGGAACTTCCTACCTGAGAGACCACCTCTAGCCCCATAACATAAAGCCCCCAGTTCAGCAATCTAAGCTATGGCTGGCCCACAGCAGACATACTGGGAAAAGAATTCCATGAACCCTCTCCCCACTCTAGCATATCTGCACAGACCAGCCATGATTTGATCCACAGACAGTGAATGTGTTGCAAAAAGGTTTCATTACCTTACATTTTAAAAGTGTAAGCTGAAAAGAAAACATTGGTAAGAAACAAACTCAATTTGAGGAGTTAGAGTAAGCCTGTGATATCAATTTTATTCTATCAAAACATCATGAGAAATTCCTCCCTTTATTTACATAACACCTCAGCAACATGATAGACCTTATTTAGACGCCTTTAAAAAGGATCAGAACAGTAGGTCAAGTCTGTTTAAAATGTAAAATATCCCACACTCAAAGAAAAGAGTATTATATGCATAATCTGCTTGCAGTTTTCAATGGATTCTTCAATAAGACTTGGAGCTTTAGTAAGAATAATACTTTTCTGCTTACCTGATTTACACTCTTGAGCAGAGTCATCCTCTCTAGTGCCATAACTTTCTACTTTAGAAAAAGAAATACAGCAGAGGATAACTTGTATGTTTCACAAGAAAAATGAAAGAATAGATAACATTTTCAAATACATATAAACAGTTAAAGTCCATGAGCCTAGACCAGTGGTTCTCAATCTATTTTTATGCGGCCCACAGTGTTACCTGCGCCCCAGGCTGAGAACCACAGCCCCCCCTCAAACACGCCCCCAGACCCATATGCACAGTGCCTCCAGCCCAGAGCCCCCTCCACATAGCAGGGCCAGGAGCGGAGCCCTGGGTGAGGGACCAGGTGGCATCCCCAGACCGTGGACCCTGCGGGGCTGGCTGGCGGCCCTGACCCCGACTCCACCACGTCTGGCTGGGCAGCCTGGACCCTGCTGCACCAGGGGGCCGGGCAGCCAGGAACCTGGACCCCGCCACACGGGCCCGGCGGCCTTTAGCACACAGCTAAGAACATACATATAAGAACATAAGAACGACCATACTGGGTCAGACCATAGGTCCATCTAGCCCGGTATCCTGTCTTCCGACAGTGGCAAATGCCAGGTGTTCCAGAGGGAATGAATAGAATGGGTAATCATCGAGTGATCCATTCCCTGTCGCTCATTCCCAGCCTCTGGCAAACAGAGGCTAGGGACACCATCTCTGCCCATCCTGACTAATAGCCATTGATTGACCTATCCTCCATGAATTTATCTAGTTCTTTTTTGAACCCTTTTTTGAACCTATAGTTTTAGCCTTCACAACATCCTCTGGCAAAGAGTTCCAAAGGTTGACTGTTCGTTGTGTGAAGAAACTTCCTTTTGTTTGTTTTAAACATGCTTCCTATTCATTTCATTTGGTGACCCCTAGTTCTTGTGTTATGAGAAGAAGTAATTTGATTATATTATGGTCACTATTACCAAGCAGTCCAGCTATATTCACCTCTTGGACCAGATCCTGAGCTCCACTTCAGACTAAATCAAGAATTGCCTCTCCTCTTTTTGGTTCCAGGACTAGCTGCTCCAAGAAGCAGACATTTAAGGTGTCAAGAAACTTTATCTCTGAATCCCATCCAGAGGTGACATGTACCCAGTCAATATGGGGATAGTTGAAATCCCCCATTATTATTGAGTTTTTTATTTTTATAGCCTCCCTAATCTCCCTGAGCATTTCACAGTCACTATCACCATCCTGGTCAGGTGGTTGGTAATATATCCCCACTGCTATATTCTTATTATTTGAGCATGGAATTACAATTCATAGAGATTCTATGGTACAGTTTCGTTCATTGAAGATTTTTACTTCATTTGATTCTACGCTTTCTTTCACATATAATGCCACTCCCCCACCAGTACAACCTATTCTGTCCTTCCGATATATTTTGTACCCTGGTATTACTGTGTCCCATTGAATATCCTCATTCCACCAAGTTTTTGTGATGCCTATTATATCAATATCCTCATTTAATATGAGGCACTCTAGTTCACCCATCCTATTATTTAGACTTCTAGCATTTATATATAAGCACTTTAAAAACTTGTCACTTTTTAGTCTGCCATTACATGATGAAATTGAATGGGACTCTTTTTCATTTGACTGTTTCTTATCAGATCCTGCCCTTATTTTATTATCTTCCATCTTCTCCTCCTTAGTAGAACATAGAGAGTCTCCATTAATAGATCCTCCCCTAAGGGATGTCTCTGTCCGAACCATGTGCTCCTCCACACCTGTCGGCTTTCCCCTGGCCCTTAATTAAAAACTGCTCTACAACCTTTTTAATGTTAAGTGCCAGCAATCTGGTTCCATTTTGGTTTAGGTGGAACCCATCCTTCCTAAAGTTTCCCCAGTTCCTAATAAATCTAAACCCCTCCTCCCTACACCATAGTCTCATCCATACATTGAGACGCTGCAGTTCTGTCTAACTGTCCCGGCACATGGAACTGGAAGCATTTCAGAGAATGCTATCATGGAGGTGGACTTCAGCCTCGTACCTAACAGCCTAAATTTGGCATCCAGGACCTCTCTCCTATCCTTCCCTATGTCATTGGTACCTGCATGTACCACGACACGTAAGTCTCGTCCCCAGCACTACACATAAGTCTATCTAGATGTTTTGAGAGATCTGCCACCTCCGCACCAGGCAAGCAAGTCATCATGCGATTCTCCCAGTCATCGCAAACCCAGCTATTTATGTTCCTAATGATCGAGTCACCCATAACTATTACCTGTCTCTTCCTAATAACTGGAGTTCCCTCCCCTGGAGAGGTATGCTCAGTGTGAGAGGATACCACAACATCATCTGGAAGGAGGGTCCCTCCCAAATATGGGATTGTTTCCCTCTGCTCCAGTTGGATGTTCTCCTTCCCTGAGACTTCATCCTCCTCAACAGCACAGAGGCTGTTAGACCGGGTGTGGGACCGTTCTACTGTGTCCCGGAAAGTCTCATCTATGTACCTCTCTGTCTCCCTTAGCTCCTCCAGTTCACCCACTCTGGTCTCCAAAGCCCGTACACGGTCTCTGAGGGCTAGGAGCTCCCTGCACCGAACATACACATACACCACCTGTCCATAGGGCAGGTAATCATACATGCTGCATTGGGTGCAATAAATTGGATAGCCCCCACTCTGTTGCTGGACTTCTGTCTGGATTCTCTTTTCACTCAGCGCCGGCTCCAGCTTTTTTGCTGCCCCCAAGCAGCGAAGCGGAGGAAAAAAAAAAAAAGAGAAAGCCGGTCGGCAGCAGCTCAATCGTGCTGCTCCATTCTTCGGCGGCAATTCGGCGGCGGGTCCTTCACTCCCTCTCTTCCTCTTCGGCGGCACTTCAGCAGCAGCTCAAAGAGGAAGAGAGGGACTGAGGGATCCGCCGCCGAAGACCCTGACGTGCCGCCCCTTTCCATTGGCCGTTCCAAGCACCTGCTTCCTTCGCTGGTGCCTGGAGCCGGCCCTGTGTTTACTCCTGCAGCTCGTTCCTTTGTTGATATTTTGTTTTTATCAGGGGGTGTTTTTGGCTTTAAGTTTAAAGAATGTTAAGTGTATCTAGCCCCCTCCCCGTACCCCCAGACTCTCCCTCTAAACTCCCTCACAAAACTCCCTGGTTAGCCGCTCCTGTTTGCTAGCTGGGTCACAGCTGTGTGTTAATTGGGCTGCATGCAGGCCCGCGAGTTGATAACCACTGGCCTAGACCTATAAACTATTAACACTAGGGGGATGCATACTCAATAGCTTCTGCAGGCCAAACTCACTGTACACACCATGGGCTCCTTGCACCCCTTTACTTGCACCCTCCCATTCCCTTCTATTTCAGGGGCTCTCTACTACCCTCCCTCCTTATGCCAAGGACTTTGTGTCCCCCATTCCTCCTTCCCCAATGGGCTAGAGCACAGGCGCCAACTTTTGTTGGCGCTGGTGGGTGCTCACACACCCCCGGCCCCGCCCCCTCCCTGCCCCATTGGATCCCTCCCCAAATCCCCGCCCTGGCCCCGCCTCTTCCCCAAGCGTGCCGCATTCCTCCTCTTACCGCCTCCCTCCCAGGCTTGCCGCACGAAACAGCTGTTTTGCGGCGCAAGCACTGGGAGGGAGCGGGGAAAAGCAGGACGTGGCAGCCCACTCAGGGGAGGCGGAGGTGAGCTGTGGCGGGGGGGGGCAGGTCGGGGAACTGCCAGTGGGTGCTCTGCACCCACCAATTTTTCCCCGTGGGTGCTCCTGGGCTGGAGCACCCACGGAGTCGGTGCCTATGGGCCAGAGGCTGTGTGCCCCCCTTTCCCTCCTCACTCATGCCATGGCTACCAAGTTGAGTGTAGGACTTGCTTAGCTGGGCCAGTTATATTGGTCTTATTTTTTGTAGATGTCTTGTTTGCCATTATCTGGCAAAAACTTAAAACTCATGAATGTTTCTGGCAACTTTATTACAAAATAGCACTAAATTGCTCAGTTATTAGAATTATTATTATGTATCATTTGTATTGTGGTAGCACCCAGGAGCACCAGTCATGGACAGCTGGGTGTAAAATTAAATCCACACAAATTTATATTACGATTCTTTAGTCCAAACACCAATTGTTTCCTCTTCAATGATTACTATATTTATAGTACTTGTCCATTTCTAAATGTGAATGGAAGTGTAAAAGTAGTGATTTCTTTATTTAGAAAATTATTGTTGCTCTACATAATTCTCTGATTAACCTAGATCGAAACAAAACAAAAAACAAAACAAAAAACCCCCACAACTTTGGTAAGCTAGAGCTAGGATTGTAAATATATTATGAGAAGGAAGCCTGATTAGAATGTTATAGTTATAAAAATAACCAGTGTTTGAAAGCCAGAAAATGTTAAGTTAAAGTTCTACAAACAACTTTAACTCTGATCCTGTATCATATATGTATGATTTACCTGGAGATGGGAATACATGATAGAGTAATCTTACATTAAGTAGCCAAATGTCCTGTTTTACCAGGACAGTCCTAGTTTTTCAAATGATATCCTACTGGCCCAAGAATTTCTTCTGGGACACACAAAATGTTCTGGCTTTTCATATCATCAGTCAAAATGCTTTGGTTTTTTTAATAACTGCATAATGTTTCCCCAAGAATACGCTCTGTGTTTACCAGGAACAGTATTAATTGTGATGAACAGTTTGGCATTCAGACAAATGTTAAATGACTTAATGAAAATTAATCTTTTGCTCAAAATGGTTATTAATGATACTGGTCATTAATAGGACAGATTACAAAGGATAAATATACGCAAACAACACAGGAAAGCAGGGGCAAGATTAGAAAGGCAAAGGCACAAAATGAGCTCAAACTAGCTACAGGAATAAAGAGAAACAAGAAGACTTTTTATCAATACATTAGAAGCAAGAGGAAGACCAAAGACAGGGTAGGCCCACTGCTTAGTGAAGAGGGAGAAACAGTAACAGGAAACTTGGAAATGGCAGAGATGCTTAATGACTTCTTTGTTTCGGTCTTCACCGAGAAGTCTGAAGGAATGCCTAACACAGTGAATGCTAATGGGAAGGGGGTAGGTTTAGCAGATAAAATAAAAAAAGAACAAGTTAAAAATCACTTAGAAAAGTTAGATGCCTACAAGTCACCAGGGCCTGATGAAATGCATCCTAGAATACTCAAGGAGCTAATAAAGGAGGTATCTGAGCCTCTAGCTATTATCTTTGGAAAATCATGGGAGACGGGAGAGATTCCAGAAGACTGGAAAAGGGCAAATATAGTGCCATCTATAAAAAGAGAAATAAAAACAACCCAGGAAACTACAGACCAGTTAGTTTAACTTCTGTGCCAGGGAAGATAATGGAGCAAGTAATTAAGGAAATCATCTGCAAACACTTGGAAGGTGGTAAGGTGATAGGAAACAGCCAGCATGGATTTGTAAAGAACAAATCATGTCAAACCAATCTGATAGCTTTCTTTGATAGGATAACGAGTCTTGTGGATAAGGGAGAAGCTGTGGATGTGGTATACCTAGACTTTAGTAAGGCATTTCATACGGTCTCGCATGATATGCTTATCGATAAACTAGGCAAATACAATTTAGATGGGGCTACTATAAGGTGGGTGCATAACTGGCTGGATAACCGTACTCAGAGAGTTGTTATTAATGGTTCCCAATCCTGCTGGAAAGGCATAACGAGTGGGGTTCCGCAGGGGTCTGTTTTGGGACCGGCTCTGTTCAATATCTTCATTAACGACTTAGATATTGGCATAGAAAGTATGCTTATTAAGTTTGCGGATGATACCAAACTAGGAGGGATTGCAACTGCTTTGGAGGACAGGGTCATAATTCAAAATGATCTGGACAAACTGGAGAAATGGTCTGAGTTAAACAGGATGAAGTTTAACAAGGACAAATGCAAAGTGCTCCACTTAGGAAGAAAAAATCAGTTTCAAACATACAGAATGGGAAGAGACTGTCTAGGAAGGAGTACGGCAGAAAGGGATCTAGGGGTTATAGTGGACCACAAGCTAAATATGAGTCAACAGTGTGATGCTGTTGCAAAAAAAAGCAAACGTGATTCTGGGATGTATTAACAGGTGTGTTGTGAGCAAGACACGAGAAGTCATTCTTCCGCTCTACTCTGCTCTGGTTAGGCTTCAGCTGGAGTATTGTGTCCAGTTCTGGGCACCGCATTTCAAGAAAGATGTGGAGAAATTGGAAAGGGTCCAGAGAAGAGCAACAAGAATGATTAAAGGTCTTGAGAACATGACCTATGAAGGAAGGCTGAAAGAATTGGGTGTGTTTAGTTTGGAAAAGAGAAGACTGAGAGGGGACATGATAGCAGTTTTCAGGTATCTAAAAGGGTGTCATAAGGAGGAGGGAGAAAACTTGTTCACCTTAGCCTCTAAGGATAGAACAAGAAGCAATGGGCTTAAACTGCAGCAAGGGAGGTCTAGGTTGGACATTAGGAAAAAGTTCCTAACTGTCAGGGTGGTTAAACACTGGAATAAATTGCCTAGGGAGGTTGTGGAATCTCCATCTCTGGAGATATTTAAGAGTAGGTTAGATAAATGTCTATCAGGGATGGTCTAGACAGTATTTGGTCCTGCCATGCGGGCAGGGGACTGGACTCGATGACCTCTCGAGGTCCCTTCCAGTCCTAGAATCTATGAATCTATGGTCCAGTGTTTCATGACAAACTTATTCAGAACACCGGATTACTGAAAAACATCCTCCCACTTGAGAAATACACCCGTTGCTGCTGAGTTAGGAGCTGGCAATAGCAATGTCAGCACGTATTTAAAAAGAGTGCACTTTTGTAGGAGTTTTGTAACCCTAAAAAATTGGTCATAAAAGTGTCCAAGTTTTTGTTTTGGAAAGTATGACACCTTTCATCCTATGGATTGATGTGTGTTTAAAGTAGTGAATGTGGGCACACATTATGCTTCTTTTGGCACAGCATCTGGCCATAACTGGATCAGATGGCTCATGATACTTGGGCCGAGTAAACCTGTGGCTGAATTACTGAAATGATTTGACAGTAAAGCCCTATTTCCTTCTCTCCCAGACTCCATAGTTTAGTAATTAATTATGCTGCTGTCCTTGTTATTCTAACTCTACCTATTTGTTTTTCCTCTCATAAAGATAATTTGCCTCAAGAAACAACTAAAAACAATCAAGAAGTTAAAAGCTTGCACTTGTGACTTCAGTTATTTTGAGACTTTCTCTTAGTTTTTCAGGAAGCAGAGAATTTGACTACTGCCTACAATTTACCCTTGTAAATTGATACTTATTGAACTATCTTCACTCTCCTTTTAAAGACTTCTTCACTATTGAATATACCCTTTGAAATTCTGCCAATCCAGTGGCTTAAGGAAAGCATAACATTATGTCACCAGAAAATGCAAGGTTTGTAACCAGTAGCAAATTTGGGCTCTCAATTCTAGGTGCTGAAGATCAGTGAGAAGTGGCAGTGACATATTACAGCTCCAGGAGAGGGAGGAAAGGTCATGGTCACCCACTCTGTCAGCATGCCTGCCACTACTGAATAGAGAATGTGATGCATAATCATCTAGAATCATTCTGGAGGAGGTCACTCACTCTTCTTTCACACAACTCGTGCCATGACAGCAGAATTACTGATTCCCCTACTCATTACCATAGTACATCCAACAAAAAGAGGAAGCTATTCCGAGATTCCAAGCCTAGAAGGGACCATTGTGATCTAGTCTGACTTCCTGTATAACATAGGCCATAGAACTGGGTTCTATGGGGCGGGGGGGGTAAAATGAAGATGTGCATTAAACAAAGGAACTCAGTTCACACTGGGGTCATTAAGAGCATACAAGAATTTAGATGTATAAGAGCATCTGTACAGATCATCCTGACTTTATTGTAGCTATCATAATTTGAAGCTATATCTGTCATAGTTTATTTTTACACATATACTATAATTGAAATTGTAAGGGCACTATAGGTCAAATTCAGCCATACCTTATCTCACACAAAACACCCACTTACTGCAGTATTTGGCATTATATGACTAATCCATGCTTTAAATGTGATACATAGAAGTTAGACAAAAACATCATTACAGACTAGGGACCGAATGGCTAGGAAGCAGTTCTGCAGAAAAGGACCTAGGGGTTACAGTGGAAGAGAAGCTGGATATGAGTCAACAGTGTGCCCTTTTTGACAAGAAGGCTAATGGCATTTTGGGCTGTATAAGTAGGAGCATTGCCAGCAGATCGAGGGACGTGATCATTCCCATCTATTCAACATTGGTGAGGCCTCATCTGGAGTACTGTGTCCAGTTTTGGGCCCCACACTACAAGAAGGATGTGGAAAAATTGGAAAAAGTCCAGCGGAGGGCAACAAAAACGATTAGGGGGCTGGAGCACCTGACTTATGAGGAGAGGCTGAGGGAGCTGCGATTGTTTAGTCTGCAGAAGAGAAGAATGAGGGGGGATTTGATAGCTCCTTTCACCTACCTGAAAGGGGGTTCCAAAGAGGATGGATCTAGACTGTTCTCAGTGGTACCTGATGACAGAACAAGGAGTAATGGTCTCAAGTTGCAGTTGGGGAGGTTTAGGTTGGATATTAGGAAAAACTTTTTCACTAGGAGGGTGGTGAAGCACTGGAATGGGTTACCTAGGGAGGTGGTGGAATCTCTTTCCTTAGAGGTTTTTAAGGTCAGGCTTGACAAAGCCCTGGCTGGGATGATTTAGTTGGGAATTGGTCCTGCTTTGAGCAGGGGGTTGGACTAGATGACCTCCTGAGGTCCCTTCCAACCCTGATATTCTATGATTCTATGATCATAATGAATTATAAATGCATGATTACCTTTCCTCTAATCATGATATTTTTATACTTTTATAAATAACATGAAAGGAATACATGACGGATCTGAGAAAAATATAAATGATAGAAACCAAAACCCCACACACTCTTTTTCATGAGACTAATGGGATACAAAATAAATGAAGTTTGGTTAAGCAGATTGAGATTCAAGTTCAACAGTTGATAATCTAATAACAAATCCATTTGAAACTATTGTATATTTTGAAAAGTTACTGTACCTTTTGCTTTTAAAGAGGAAACATCATCACCACTGGAAGACAAAATGATTGGTACGTCAGTAATATATGTTAACATTTTGCCATATTCTGTTACTACAACCAACAAGTGACCAGTCTACAACATGATATTTAAGAAGAAATATTTTTAAATGTAAACCCAAAAATCAAAATGAAAAATAACTAGCTAAATACCCTGAAAATCTGAAGAGTAATTCTGATGTAGGGCTTGATCCTACAAGCCCTCACAGAATAGTTTAGCCTCCTCTGGGCTGTAAAACTTTGTTCTAATTCTGGTCGTGGGCTTGGTGTCAGGTGGCTGGGTAGTGTTTTGTGCCCTGTGACATCAGATTCGATGATCTGGTGGTCCCTTCTGGCCTTACACGTAATGACTCTGTGTGCATAGTCACACTGGGGAAATGCTTGTATAAGTAAGGTCTATTCTTGTGAGTAAGGATTTGGAGGATCAGACATAAACACAGTAGAAAGAACAACTACTTTGGGTGTTGACTATTATGAAGAGAAAAAAGTATAAAGAATTATGAGGTAACCCAATCCATGTCAAAAATACTTCAGTGCTTTAATAATAACTTTCATACTATAAAAATTTTCTTTAAAAATTTATTTTTACTGAAACATTATGAATCTGCATACAAAATGGCAGAATGTAGCTATCTTATAATATAATGGGAAAAGCCAACTCAGAACACAATGTCATTATTTGTTGGGGTATCCAAGGGACAGCAAGTGTATTATAAATACTCCAATCCTGCAAACACTCAAACACATGCTTAACCTTAAGCACGTGAGTAGGCCCATTAACGTCAACAGAATGTCTCACTTACCTTCAATTAAACTACTTAAGCATGAGTACAAGAGTTTGCAGGTCCAGGGTCTAAGACCATTTAAAAGTACAAACAAACATTTTTAAAGTGTTTGTTTCAAGCTCCTTAAGAGGAGAATAAGTAGCACTTCCCCATTAAGCAACTCCATGCACTACAGTCCTGACTTTCAGTGTGTATCCTATCAAAAACCTGGGGTGAAATTCTGACCCCACTGAAATTAGTGGGAAAACTCTCACAAGGCCTCTCTTTTGCTCAGACTTCCAATTATATGAAAATACATAATACGGACCAAAATCCAATAAAGACTAGATGAGGATAAAAACTCAATTTTATGTGTAACCTAAGAAACCAAAGCAAAATTTTTTAAAAGTGACTAGTGATGTAAAGTGTCTGAATTTTTGTATGTTCAATCCAAGATAGCGCAGAGGAGCATGATTTTGCACTTTCTGAAAATCAGGACCATTTATGGTGTCTCAAGTTGAGTTGGGCCAGGTCTCTGAAGATGAAAAGCCAGTGAATTAATCTATTGTGCGAATAGATTCAAAATGTAAGAAAATACAAGGCAATACTAATATCTGGCAACCCAGTGCCGAACTATATAATCATTATCAAATTCTCCTCCCAGTAACACTAGTACAACACCCCTAGCATCACTGTGAGGAAAACCTTTCATCTAGACATAATATTCTGGCATAAACTAATTCTTCACTGTAATCAGACACATTGATGGTCTGAAGTTCATTTTTATTCTCCTTTTCTTTCTACTTACCACGTTTTCTTTCCTATAATTTCAACCATTAATTAGATCTTCTTGATCTATTACACTTTATCAAAACAACAGGTGTTTTAATTTCCATATTCACATCTAATTAACTTGACAATCTGCCTTTTTCCTACCGTTTTCTTATACTATTCATCTTTAACATATGAATTATCATTAACACTATTTAATACCTTGTTCATAACACCTACTCTACTGTATAATTTCTTCTCATTAATGCCTTGTATCACTTCAGTTCAATCTATGTTAGTATCTCTTCCTCAGTTTCTGGTGTGGTAAGGAAATAAAGGAAGAGAAGGAAATAAATATAGAGAGAGGCTTGATGTCTTGAACTGTTGTTTCCTTTGATAGCACTTACCTAAGTCTTGTAATGTGGTGCCATTTTATTTTTGTCTTTTTACAATCACTGCTTGCAACATAGCTCAGTAACAGAACTGGTCAATTTTTTAAATTTGAAAATAGCTTTGAAGAATGGCCTATTTTTCAAAATGAAAATTTTCATGGAAAATTTGCATTTTGTTTGCAATTTTTCAGGTTTTGATTTTTCATTTTCCTTCTTTCCCCTTTCTCTTCCTGTTGCCTTCCTTATTCTATTTTTTTCACTATAAATAAAAAATGGGGAGTAGAAGAAAAAGAGGAAAAAAGAAGAAGAATGAGAAAAATAGGTTGGGGGAGACAAGAAACCAAACCCCAATTTTTTTCAGAGAAAATGTCAAAACAAAGGATTTTTAAAAATTGCAAAAAACAATTAATACTTTTGACCAGCTCTACCCAGTATATATTAAAAAGAGTAAGACACACAAAAGTAAACTGATGTAGTAACACTATAGAAGCAGTACTGTATGTGCACTGATTTGTTCACAGCGTGCCTCACAGTGAATTTTGGGTTCAAATATCAGAGAAACATACAATCACACTGTCTCCCTTATAGATAGTGCTACAGAATGAAACAACTCTCTGATTATGCAAATTTAAGACTCAAAAACCTCAACAGTGTTCCCTTAATTCTGAGAGTCAGTTTTCAAATTGAAGTAGGAGATGCACAGATTTCCCTGCCCCAATATGTTCATTAAGCTTTCTGCATTCTGCTAACCAATATCTGCCAGTGTTGATTTTTAGGCTTGGCTCATTAAGATATTTTGGAAGAACGATTGTGTTGCTTTTGTTATTGCACCAAATTACAAATATTATCAACAACTGTTAAGAAACTTGTAGCGGCACAAACAGCTCCTGCTCCCGTTTTGCTACCGGCATGCTGAAGCTGCAGCGGGGAAGGGGCTTTTGCTGCCTGAGCGGCTCAATCCGGCGCGGCTGCCCTGTCAGCCGCTTTTGGGTCTTTAGATAGCCGTCCGGGGGGAAATCCCGGACATTTTTAGCTTTTTACAAATTCCCCCCGGACGGCTATTTAAAGACCCAAAAGCCGGACATGTCCAGGGAAACCCGGACGGATGGTAACCCTAGATAAACCAAATCTTCAGTTATAGGGGACCTTGGTGAAGGATGTGTCCAATCCTTGCAGTTGTTCTAAATATTTTTACAGCTACAGAGTCATCAATCTTATGGCTTTGCACGATTGTCTTAATGGCTGGTTCTGGCCTTGGGATCCCTCTGTAGCTTTAATAGCAATTTGTCTAACTGCCAAATACACTTGATGGACCTTGGCACAGGATTCCCTAAGACTATAGACTTGGCAGCCTTGCTCAGCTGGTCTTGTGACATAGGTAGAGCCCTGTGAAACTATTTTTATTTTTTTATAATTTTTTTTTTTATTTTGGGGGGATTTTTTTTGTCCTTGTGTAACCCACATACCTCCTGGGTGTGGTGTTCTGTCCCATCTAATGGCACCGAGGCCACCTAAAAAGAGAGATAAAATGAGTCTGTTCTACAGCCTTAGCTAACAGCCAGTTGACTTTTAGCTCATGCACTAAGCTCCAGAGGTCCCCAGTTAGATCTCGCCTGTCAACGACCAGGGTCTGTCAGCATTAAAAGTGGGGGCTCGTCCAGAATTTCAACTGGGAAGTCTCTGAAGCTCAGGGCACGCTTCCTCAGCTAGGGGAAGTATGCAACCCACACACCTCCTGGGTGTGGAGTTCTGTCCCATCTAGTGGCACCGAGACCACTTAAAAAGAGAGAAAAAATTAGTCTGCTAACAGCCACCTGGCTTTTAGCTCATGCAGTAGATGCTCATGCATTAAGCTCCAGAGGTCCACGGTTCAATCCTACTTGCCAACAACTGGGGTCTGTCGGTGTTACACTTGCGTTTTATACATTTTATCCACTAAGGAGCTCGCCCTGCTGCGGGGTGACTTTTGCTTTTTTTTCCTTTTATACGTTGTTTTTTGTTTTATTTCGTGTTATTGAGTATTTGCAAAAAACATGGAGCTCTAGACATGGGTGTGCATCACAAAACTATCTTGGAGTTTGTTTTTAAGCTGCTATATTTGGAAGATTAGCTTTCCAGCATTTGGGGTCTGATCCAATTCTTAGTAAAGTCAATGGGAGTTTCAAAACTCCCAACACAGTCAATATGAGTCTCTCCATTGACTTCAGGTCCTTGGTAAAAATTTTTAAACTAAGTACTGATAAAGTAACTAGAGCTAGGTGGGAAATAGTTTTCTCATGCTGTGAGAATTTTCCAGATTTTGAAAAACATTTCTGTCACAAATCAGAATGAAATGTCACAATCTCAAAAATTTTCACAAACCAATAGTCCAAAAATAATTTTTTGATTAGGTCAAATCAAAATGTTTCATTTCAATTCTAACCTTTCTCCATTTTTAACCTTTTTAAAAATATATATACATACATGTAAAATGAAAAGTCACTTCAAAGGAAAAAATGAAATTTTTCAAAAATGTCAAAACAAGATGTTTCAACAATTCCAAATGTTTGATATTCAATTTTTTTTAAATCGGGTGATTTGTCAAAACCAACCCTTTCCCAGAAACAGTTTTGGTTTCAATGAATTAGCATTTTCCTACAAAAAATGTTTCTGCTGAAAATTCCTGACTACCTGTAAAAGTAACCTCCTAAATATGACAGGTTTCAAAGTAGCAGCCGTGTTAGTCTGTATCCGCAAAAAGAACAGGAGTACTTGTGGCACCTTAGAGACTAACAAATTTATTTCAGCATAAGCTTTCGTGGGCTACAGCTCACTTTGACAGTCAAAGTGCTTTTTCAGGCACAAGATCTATGCACAGACTTATATCTCAAGCTGCAGAGCACTATACCCCTTTTACAAATTATTCCACTTGAACTCTACTGGGAATATATGCAAATCAACTACAGGAGAAGACAAAAAGCACAAAAATCCATGCAGAGCAACTAGAGGAGTCAGAAAGCATGAGACAACAGAAGGAATTAAGATTTTGGTTTCAAGGAGAAAGACCTCAGAGTAAAACTAGTCTGC